AATGAGAGCTGACAGACTGGGTGTGGTTTGGCTCTGTGTGGTTTGCTGAGAATTGAAATTGAAACTGATATCTGCTCTGAGCTGGTGCTGCTTGTGTTTTTGCTTATGTTACATTTAAATAATTTACAAATAATATTGTAAACTGCTGAAGGTTTCTCAAGCTATCATTTACATCGTTACTGATATTATGATTGTGATAAATATTACATTTGCATATTTCCATTTTTTGACTCATAATTTTTTTAAGCAGGTGACAGTGCTTTAACCAATCATATTTCAAAATGGTTGTAGAGATAATTCAGATGTCTCTGCTTACACAATTATGAAGTACATCTATGAAATACATTTCAAATAATTTACACTATTGTTTTGATTTTTATTGTTGTACAAACTCAAAATCAAACTTGCTTAAGGTTGGTACCACTATCATTAACACCATCACTACCACCATCACCACCAAAAGTTTACAATTTCAAGCAGAAGATGTTTGGAGAGGAGGAGATCAGAAACAGTTGGTAGGAAAAAGTTTAGATAATGTTGTTATCCAAAAGTTTGGATAACTTAGAACTGTGTTGCTTGCAGTCAGACCTAGGTATTGCATACAAAATTATACATAGTTATTTTTACCTGTAAATGACCTTTTCTGTTTTAATCGCAATAATATGCGCATGAACAACCGCTTTAAACTCAATGTAAATCGTTGACTGTAAAAAATATGATTTCCGTAATAGAGTTGTCAAAGTCTGGAATGCCCTACCTGATTCAGTTGTCTCAGCTATAAATTTTCAGTTTTAGTCACAAACTGACTTCTGTGGACCTTACTTCATACTTAAGTGTCAGTAGAGGGGAGGGGGATACATAAGTGCACTAATGTACCTATCGTCTCTGTCATTGTATTTTTAGTCTCTTATTCTTGTTCACGTATTTGTTTCGCAAATTCCAATAAATAAATAAAATAAAAATGCCCTTGCCAGCTTTATAATTTCATGAAATTTCTCCTAAAGCCATGCAGGCATGAACACTGAAACTGATGAGCACCCAGTTTTGTGCTTCAACCTCAGAATGGAAGAGGGATGCATAAATAATGACAGGCTGTTCTTTTCAGGAAGAGCCTGATGGTTCTTGCTGATGCTTAGAGTTTCATTGAATATGCCTCTTTCTGTCTCTCTCTCTCTTCCTCAGTCATGCTTGGCCCAGAAGTGGAAAATATTCTTTAGATTGGGAATGGTTTTCTAAATTAGGAAAAATATCCAATCACATTTATGATTCTAATTCAAATGTTCATTAAATAAGTATAGATGAAAAAAGGAAGTAAGGAAATTGCAAAAAAGAAAAGGCTAGTTGTATTTACAAAAGTAATTTTAATTGTCTCAGGAACCTACAAAATGCATAGCATACAAGCCTTTTATTAGCTCATAAAATATTTATTTTTATTTTATTATTTTTATTTTTTCCAGCCTCTATTGATTTTGCACATAACTCAACTTCAAAATACCATTCTCCTCCTATTTTCCCCACAACAACAAATCTGGGAGGTGAGTTGGGCTGAGAGAGAGTGGCTGGCTGAAAGTCACCTAGTTAGTTTTCATAGCTAAGCAATAGTCTATAGTAGGGGTGTCAAATTGGTGGCCCATGGGTTGGATGTGTCATTCACAGGCCACACTTACCCCAGCTCTGTGAAGGGAAAAACATCATGATATGTCACGTGACAGCAACAAGACGTGGCGAGTTTGACACCTGTGGTCTACAGCAAATGTCTTTTGAAGACAGATGAGTTTTCCAAATCAGTCAATGTTTCCTAAAGCAGCGGTCGCCAACCTTTTGGACCTCAGGGACCACCAAACTCATAATTTTAAATCCCACGGATCACTAATTTGAATTTTGACTGACGGTGGCGCAGGAATTTTGACTGACAGTGACCAGCTCTCAAGAGATGAGAGTGACTCCGGCTGCTTCTCTCCGCTAACAGGCAAAATTGTCTCTCTAAGTATCAACGGTGAGGTGTCAGATAAAATGGTTAATTCTGTATTGTTGAATTTCCACTGCTTATTACCTGAGGTTTTAAATACTGTAACGTTGATTAGGAGGGGGAAACATTTATGGTTTTGCATTTTGTGATTATCAGAAGCCACTCTCCAACCAGTATAATAAAATGGAACTATTTTGCCATTATATTACATTTTCTCTTTCTCTCAACAACCTCTCTACCCCAACTATTATATTTATCAGCCTGAAATGGGCCAGTAATATAAAATACAAGAAACCTTGCCAAAAGGCTCTGATTTTGTGACAGGGACCGACACCACAAATATGTGAAACTCTTGATTCCTGCGGTGGTCCACGGCAGAAAAAAAATATGGCAACACAAGTAATCAGGAATCTCCCCTTCAGAAAAGGAGTGGCTGGCTGGATGCAGTTTTAAACCTGGAGCCCCGAAGGACTCCAGAAGGACTCCAGGCTTGGGTGTTCCTGATAGACATGCAATGGGGGACAGGGGGCGCATCCTTGGCCAGGACTGCAAATAGGACACCCAGGAGCTGGCAGGGTTTAAGAAAGGGGCGAAAGCAGCGGCGGCAGCAGAGGGAGGGTTTTTTTCCCCCCTTTGTGGAAACCCCTTCAGGCACTGCCTTTTCCCTCCCAGTGCTGCCTCCAGCACTGATTGGAAATTCAGCGCTTCTGAATGGAATGCTGGATGGAGTGCTTCTCTGGCTGCTGCGCTTTGATGATGGGTGCAGGCAAAGGTAGCATCCTCAGGGCTGCGCCACTGGAGCAATGCTGGCACTTTGGGGATGAGAACCCTCCCCCACCCCCCCATGTTAGCAAGGTGCAACAACGTTGTGCTCCCTTTTGCACAGGAGTTCGGCCAAACTATCTGCAAAATCGTCTCTCTTGAGGAGCGCTTGACAGTTTGCAGATATCTTGGCCACCTGTTAGCAGAGAGAAGCAGCTGGAGTCACTCTCATCTCTTGAGAGCCTAGCCAATGTTTCCTGTGCTGCTCATGCTTCAGCGCTTTGACTCCCAGGGGCAGGAGTTTAGCCAAGCTACCTGAAAAATAGTCCCCCCCCCCCCCCTCTCTGTGAGTGCTCGCAGAGAAAAGCATCCAGAGTCATTCTCGTCTCTCAAGAGCCCAGGCAAAGTTTCCTGCGCTGTTTCTGTGAGCGCTCCCCGAGAGAGATGATTTTGCAGATAGCTTGGCTGAACTCCTGTCCCTGGAAGTCAAAGCGCTGAAGTGGAGATTTCCAATCCCACTACGGGCCGGTCCCATATTCCAGAGCTGCAGTAGTCACAAGACTCTCCCTTTGATCATCCTGGAGTAGCTCATCCATGGCAGGCCTGTGCACAGGCCAGTCCTGTGACTACTACAGCTCTGGAATATGGGACTGACCTTCCCACCAATGTCAGCAAGCCACCTTGGGGTGGATTTCCCTCTCCTGCTGTTGATCTTACCTTACCTTCCAGTTCCAGCTCACGTGGCTCTACTCGAGGTAAGGTTTGCGCTTGGCCAAAGGGTGGGGACCAGCAGGTGGGCGGGCCAATGTGGGCAGCGCAGACTTGTATTCCTTTGCAGCCTGGATTGATTGCTTTGGGGGGGTACTTTGGGGGAGGCATTACTCTGCAGCCCATCAAAATTTTCTCGCAGCCCACCGGTTGGCGACCACTGTCCTAAAGGATCAGTTTAAGATGCTTTGCTTTCTAAGGCAAAGAGTAAGATAAAAAGGTAAACTCCATTTCTATATATAGAAGCCACCATACTGCAATTGATTTTACTTCTAGAGATAGGGCGAGAGGACCAGGAAGTACAGAAAGCTTGGTGCTTTAGCATCTGATACTATTTCAATTGCTCCAACCATCTGTGGTCAAGCCTAATTCTGGCAAAGCTTATATTCTATGGGTTGTCCTTGATTTATGACATTTGAGCCCAAAATTTATGTTGTGAGAAATTTAAGTGAGTTTTGCCCCATTTTATGACTTTTCTAGCCATATTTGTGAATCACTGCAGTTGTTAAATTAATAATACAGTTGTTATGTGAATCTAGTTTCCTCATTGACTTTGCTCATCAGAAAGTCACAAAAAAGGATCACATGACTCTGGGACATAGCAACTGTCAGAAATGTGAGTCAGTTATCAAGCTTCTAGATGTAAATCATGTGACCATGGGAATGCTGCAACATTCATAGGTGTGAAGAATGGTAAACTTTTCAGTGCCATTGCAACATTGAACATTCACTAAATGAAGTGTTGCGAGTCGAGGACTATTTGTACATGGGCAACTTGCTTTATTGTTATCAAAAAAGGTGCTTTGTAAGTGGTTGACAAGTAAGACATAAGAATTCTTTGGCAGCAGGTAGAATTTAGAGTATACCAGAAATCATTCAGAACTTTAAGATAAATTTCAACTTGCTAAAAAATAATGTTGAATACAAGAAACCTTAAAAAGCTGCCTCCCCCCCCTCCTCCCCCTCCTCATCTCTAGACATTATTGGACTTTGCCTTCCAATCCCTTCTTCAACAGATTTGAAGTGGAAAAAAAAATACTTGTACCTACCTGTCCATTAAAGGATGGAGAAAAAATAATGGCTACTATTTTCCCCCCTGCCCTGCAGCAGGGTTCAGAAAATACTGAAGTGATAAGTTGTCAGCCTCTGTGGCTCAGTGATAGGAGCTAATCATCCATCTCCTTCGGATTTGCTAAAAAATCAACTCTTCCATTTTTATATCACAATTACTTTAACAGGGCAGGTCTTTTAAAGATATGAAAGATGAAGACAAATAATAAAAAAATGAAATCATTGATTTTTTTTTAAAAAAAATCTGATCATATATGGGACTTGCTACGTATCAGAGAAGCAACTGGCATTGTATGTATTTGTTTTATACTTTGCAATTTGGAGTTTAACTCTAAACCCTGAGTAACTTAGAATTAAAAAGAGTTGAATAATGTACTAATTAAAGCTAAAATCCATATAAACATAAACAATTTCTGAAATAGATTTTTACCTATTACTTTTCCTAGAAAGAGTGACTTCAGTGAGCTGAACTGAAGGCTTGATGGTCCTGGTATAGTGTAGCTTACTGGGGGATAAAGGTCCAGCTAGAGAAACATGAAAAAAAGATGTCAAACTTTGAAGATTGCAGGCTAATAAAGTTACTGAACTGGATCTTCTCTGATGATATGCACTGCTCTGCTGTCAGATGTTCTTGTTTTATCCCTGATAAGCAGTTTACCATGGTTGGCATACTTAGGGAATCAAAATCAGGCCATCGTTCCTTTGAAAAGGAACTTCCTAAATATGGTATGCATTCAATCTCACTCTACCTCAGATTCAGGTGGTCACATAAAATCACAAAAATCAGGAGGCTAGTGGTACCTTTTCTGACTAATACATTTTATCAAAAGGCATATGCTTTCATAAGCGGTCACCATAGACTAACACAACTGTCTTTCTATAAGAGGCAGAATACTTTCTATTATCCATTAAGTGAGAAAATGAAGTGAGAGGCATTCATTTAATCTCTCATTCCTGGTAGATTGCAAAAGAAATTTATTCAGATTTGACACAGATCCAAATAGTAAATTTGATACCAAATTTTGATAAGATTGAAATGAGATTAAGAGAAAAAAAGAGAGTATTCTAGGTTTAAAATTCAGTTTCAGTTAGTTGTTTTAAACAAATTTGATTTGTTGAATTTGGATTTCTTTATTACAAAATAAAAAATGAAAAGTACCTCATATTTATTTTGGAATAATTTGTTATTTCTATTATTCGAGACATAGAAATACATAAAATCAGTTTAATGTAACTTGAAATTAGGAAGTAAAAGAGCTAGAAACGGAGTTGTAGAGAAAAGAGTATAAATTTCACAGTCCAATAAATTTTGGTATACTGTTATAAACGCAATTTTCCGATGTTTAAACTGCCCTTTTAGTTTGCTTATATGTTCTATAAGTATTCAGATATTCTTGGCCAAGTGCTGAAATTGGCTAACAGCCCAAAGAAAGAAGAAAGTTGGATGCAAATTATTACTTTGGCTAGAAAACTTTAAAATACAACTTTAAAGATTCAGTGCATTTTGGAGCTGTGTTCTTATACTTTGACAGAGATATACTATTAACAGTTTATTAAACCAGTCTGGTTTTTTTAAAAGAAATGTTATCAGATGGTCAAGATCATTAAAAAGAAACATTTTTATACAGACTATCAGAGTTGGTTTATTTTAGTGTACTGGGATGATACTGCAAGCAAATTTCTCCATTGGGTTTACAGGAATATCACTGTGAATTTTATTACAGGAATATGGATATCTTTTGCCAAGGAAATAGTAATTTCCACAAAACACAGTCACTACTAATGTATATACGGACGATTAATATGCATTTCATAGATCTCACAGTTAAAAAAAAAAACACTGTCTCCATACGAAATGGCTGCTAGACTCAGCATTTCTGGGAAAATGCACTCAGGAGGTAATTGATGGGCTTGGAAATATACAAGTTATTTTTTGCTGGCAGAAATTTTTCTAGAAGCTATGATATGGTGCCATCTTGTGGCTCTCAAGGGGTAAATCAATGGAAGGGAAAGAATTGCACAGCTCCCATTCTTGGTATAGTTTTTCTAATAAACTTTAAAAGCAGAACTATAAATTACAAAATGCTATATAGATGTGTAACTTGCAGAGACATGTAATTGATAATTACTATTAATTATTGTACACCATTCAAAGTCTTCTGAGTGATGTAAAATGGTTAATAAACAAACACATTTAATTATAGTTTGAGATTTTAAAAGGTGTTGCATTTAATAACTTTTTAAAAAGAGAAACATGATCTAAGAAAAATATTTATGAACATAATGAATATACATTTAGAAATTCCTTTTGCAAGAATGTCTAAATATATGCTATTACTATAAAAAGTAGTAAATTTCATATCATTTGAAATTCAGTACTATGGTAGTGCCATGCACATTATGATTTTGTATCACAGCCATATACTTCTAGGAAAGGTGGGATTTAAATCTAACAAATAATTGAATAGTAAATATAATATTTCTTTTAAATAAAATCTGACAAGGGTCACAGTTGGAATAATCACATTTAGCTTTCAGAAAACATGAAACAGGCTAGGAAGGAGTGGGGCTAATCATATAAAATAAAGCAAAATGAAACAATTGCTCTTAAGTTTTACATAAATTTCATTGTCAAATATTAAGGCTTTTTAAAAACAATGTACATAATGGTAAAAATCAAAATTTTAACTGGACTTTTCCAAGACTTGTAGAATAAATAAACCACATCTTTCATCCCTTCTTTGATAATCAATTGAACTATGATATGCTTATAAACACAAGCCAAATTCTTTCTTGCATGAAAAAAATGATAGGAAATAAGTACTAATAATCTATTATCAATGTTCTTTATCCTCTATTTCAAAGATGGAATAAATGTTTCATATATAATTGATTCATCAATTGCTTAAGGTTTATTTACATTTGTCTCCATTTAGACTGTAAATTTGCTTTTTCCTAGGATATTTAATACTCAGCAGTGATGTTATTATTCAACTTCATCCCTTATAAAGTCATTGATATGTATTTACCTGGAAAACAATGTCTTTTCCTACCCGTGTGATATTCACACTGTGTGGCTGTCCATTTGACACATTCCTGTGATCTACATTGATGTTGTATGGTTCTTTAGCACCTCCAAGTTTGTATCGAACCTGTAAATTTCCTACAGAATGAAGTAATAAATAATTAATTTTTATTTAATTCTTAGATTATTTCATTAGAATCTTACTTTTAAATTTTATATTCTTCATCATTATAGAATATTAAGTAAAGTTAACCTAAACCATGCTGAACTTAACATGGTAATTTCATCCATGCAGGGTTTTTCGGCTGCCTTATGGGAATGGTAATCCCACATGCCACTTGTACCATCGTGCCTACCCGTCCCTGTCCTATTGTCCCCATTTATTCGTACCTATTTCCTGTATTCTTACTCATGTTTATACTTATATCTATTATCTTGTAAGTGATTGGCAAATTAAATAAATAAAATAAAATAAAATAAAACCTTTCTAGAATTTTTCAATATTGCTGAAAGGTTGTCTTGCTTCTGATTAGCAGGGCCAATCCTTCTTAGCTTCTGAAATCATGCAAGATTGGCATTGCACTGTCACCTACTGATTGTTATAATGAGTTGAAATCCAAGATATATTTTATATCCCACAGAGACAATGGTGTAATTCAGCAATAAACAAAGGGTAACTATGTGTCTCTCCTAGGTGCTTCTGTCCTATATACAAACATGTTCTCAAATATCAGTTTTAAGTAGCATCATTTTTTTTGTAGTATGCTAGATAGGTAAAATATGCAGGAAAAAAGGACAAATAACTTACCAGTTGGATTCACTAAGACTGCCATGTAGTCCTGAGAATAAGAACTGATGTAGAGCAGGATACAAGGAGCTTTGCTAGTGCTGAAGCTAAAACTGATTTCTTCTTTATTGAGACTGAGGTCTGACACAAAGTTCTCTGATTCTTTGGAACTCAAGAGAGTTCTGCTCCCTGAATCCTTCGCATTATTTCCCACAGATGAAAAATTATACCGGAGCCACATTCCTTCTTCAAAAAAAGCTCCAACATCTGGTGGAAGAAGAAACATAGAATATTAAGTAAAATGACATATTCTGATAAGTATATGACAGCTGCTGCTTTTAAAAACATGGGCAAATGTGATTCACAGCTTCATACATTATATTACAATAGATTGGTATATTTCTCTTTTCTTTCATCATAAACCATTTTACTTGCAGATTATATCCTGGTTTAATATGATGGTGAGTAAACAGACATTTAAAAAATGTCCCCAATTTGTTAAAAGTAAATTAGCATCTCCATGTTTTATGAGGCTGGGTTATAATGTTGAATGGCTTTCAATTTGTACATTTTAAAATTTATCTACAATACATGCATAACACAAATATATAAAATTAGCTGTGGCCTCTAGTCTTCATTTGCTATGTTTTAGTAAGGTTGAAAAGGGTAATGTTAAAATGCAAAGGTAAATGCTAAGCAGAGGTAGGATTCTACTGGTTTGGACTGGTTTGAGTGAACTGGGTGCTAAAGTTACATCTGGTTCACCAAACCAGTATTTCAACTGACCAGCTGGTCCTACCCACGCCGCCCCTCACAGCCCATTTTCAATGGAGGTAAGTGCAGGGTCCACGACAAGGCTCTGGGAAGGGAAAAAATGGGCCTTCCGAAAGTCCAGAAATGGGCCTGTTTCCTGCTTCCAGATGGCCTCCAGAGCCCAGGGGAGGCTGTTTTTACCCTCTCAGAAGCTCAAGGGAGTCCTCTGGACCCTTGGGAGGGCAAAAAACTACCCTCCTGGGAAAACCAGAAGTTGCAAAATGCACCTGTTTCTGGCTTCAATGAGCCTCCAGAGCCCCGGGGGACAGTGGTGGGATTAAATTTTTTAAAAATACCAGTTCTGTGGGTGTGACTTGGTGCATGTTGCAGGGGAAGGATATTGTAAAATCTCCATTCCCTCCCAACCCCACTAACCTGCTTTCTAGCTCCATTCTCCTGTGCACGGCAACAAAAGAAGACCCAGCCCATCAGCTGGAACTCGGGAGGCAGAGAATAAATGGGCCAGTTCTCCAGAACTGGTCAGAACCTGCTGAATACCACCTTTCCCAGGGGAGTCTGGAGGCCCATCAGAATCTGGAAACAGGAAATTCCAGTAGGCCACACCCACCATGGCTATGCCCACCCAGCAACCGGGCAGCAAACCGGTTGCTGGGATTTTGAATCCCATCCTCGATGCTAAGTAAAGGTATTGTAAAAGGAGCAGTATACACATTTTAAGGAGACTTCTTCAGAATTCTATCATTTCAGGAAAAAAAAATGTTAGAGGTATCTCTAATGAGGTCTGGTAAAACAAGCAGGGTTATTTTCAAAGCTCTCTATGGTGAATTTAAACTATCTTCCTACAGCAGAAACAATAAAATTTGTTCAAACTATTCAAGAAATTAGAGAGAGAGAGAGACAAAGAGACAGAGACATGGAGAGGGAGAGAAGGAGAGAGATACATAAGTGGCAAAAAAGAGATTTGGGTAGTAAGTCTGGCACCTGATTTCACTGGAAAAATCTGATCCCTTATTCTAGACTTTTGGAGAGTGTAAGAATGTGAAAAAAGTGATTCTATATAGATGGAGCATATAACCTTGACAAAGATTCTGCAAATACTCCTGTGGTTTGCAGGCCTGAGCTACAGAATTGTGGTCTAGATTTCTGGATTCAAGATTCAAAAAACAACAAAACGGCAGAAAAACGAACAAAAAAAGATAGAAGAAATAATTTGCAAACAGATCTTGTAAATCTACTAAGTTCAACCAGTGCTGAATTCAAGAGCACCACTCTAATACACAAAAGATGTAGAAGAAATAATTGAGGTTTATTTTGTATCCTGAACATCCTTCTCTCCTTTCTGGAACTTATTGCTTAAAGAAAATACAATTAGTTCTCAACTTATGATCACAACAAAGCCCAAAATTTCTGTTGCTAAGTGAGACAGTTGTTAAGTGAGTTTTGCCTCATTGTACGATCTTTCATGCCACAGTTGTTAAGTGAATCACTGTAGTTTTTAAGTTAGTAACATGGTTGTTAAATGAATCTGGTTGTCAGAAGGTCACAAAAAGCGATCACATGATTCCAAGACATTGCAACTGTCATCAGTATGAGTCAGTTGCCAAGCATCTGAATTTTGATGATGTGACTTTGGAGAATTTATAATAGTCACGTGTGTGAAAAACAGTCACTTTTTTCAATGACTTTGTCATTAAACAAACTGTTGTAAGTCTAGGACTATTTGCAGTTAAGCTACTACTCTCCTGGATCTTCTACATGTATATGTTTGTGTATGTGTGTGTGTGAGAGAGAGATAGATAGATAGAGAGAAAGCATAAAAGCAAGGGTGTGGAGATAGGAAAAAAACCCTATCTGTGAAGTTTTTGAAGAATTTGATTTCCTCCTTTTGGTTACACTGTTTAGTTGCATTCTCTTTTTTAAATAAACTTTATTGCTTTTATCAATTAAAACAAAACAAACAACATCTATTAATATAAGCCTAAATTTAGCAATGAAAAGGAAAAGAATATTAGCGAAATTAATTAAACAGAACACGGATATAGTATGCTTACAGGAGACCCTCATTAGAAACTCAGATGAAAAATACATTGAATGTCCTAAGCTAGGGAAATTATTTACTGCACCTGCAGACTCAGGGAAAAAGAAAATATTATGTTAAAGATAATATGAATGCAGATTTAATTCTGACAGATCCCGATGGAAGAATTCTGGTTATACAAGTCTGGATCAATCTAAAGCCAACCTTAGTAGTCCCCATCGAAAACCAAAAGGAATTTTTAAAAAATCTACATGAAAAAATAGCAAAATTAATAAAAAGAAATATCAGCATTATAGAGGACTTTAATGCCATAGTAGACCAACAAAAAGACCATAGTAATGTGGGTGGGGGGGAGGGGGAGAAGAAGAGAGAATTACCAAAAACATGTTTAGAAATTATGGCTGAATTAAATCTGATAGATATTTGGAGGAAGCTAAACCCAGATAAAAAACAATTCACGTTCTGTTCAAATCCACATCAACTGTGGACATGGATTGATATGGCTTGGATGAATGGAGAATTAGCAAATGAAATAGAAGAGATAGAAATTCTACCAAACATGTGGGCAGACCACAAACCCCTTCAGATAATTTGGAAGGGTAGAAAAAAGACAAGGAGAAGGTGGACCTTAAATACCCAATTAGTAAAAGATAAAGAATTTATTAAGAGACTCAAGGAAGAACTAAACTACTTTCTGAGTGAAAATAATAATGATACTACCAGGCAGAACTTATGGGATACTATGAAAGCAGTTATAAGGGAGATTACAGTATCATATACCGCAAAAAGAAATAAAGAAAAATATGCCCAACAAAATAAATTACAACAAAGAATTAAGGAATTAGAAACCCAACTACAAAATAAACGAAAAAATGTTAGTTTGCAAAATCAGATGATAGTAACTAAGCACAAACTTAATCTAATAAAACAAGAGGAAATGATTAAAAATTTGAATATAACTAGACAGACATACTTTGAACAGGCCAGGATCTGTACAAAAAGGAGGAGGTGGATGAGGATTTGATAAGGGATTAACTTGGAGAAGTAAAGGATAGGGTAATTGAGGAGGAAATGAAAGACTCTTTAACTAAAGATATAACGTGGACTCAATTGAAATTAGCAATAGGAACCCAGAAAAATAATAAAACCCCGGGTCCAGATGGTATCCCAGGGGAACTCTATAAAATAATAGAAGAACAAATAAGACCCTTAATGGTGGAAATATACAATGAGGTACTGGTTGCAGCCAAAATGCTGGACTCATGGAGGGAGGACTGATTTCGTTGATCCCGAAGGATGATACAGATGCCGACTGATACAAAACTATAGGCCAATTTCCTTGTTAAATGCCGATTATAAAATATTTGCCACCATTATAGCAAATAGACTAAAAAGAATTCTGAATGAATATATCCATAAGGATCAAAATGGATTTCTCCCTAACAGGCAAATTAGGAATAATTTAAGAATTGTATTAGATATTCTGGAATATTACAAAGCCCACTTGGAGAAACAAATAACCCTTGTATTCCTGGATGCCCAGAAGACATTTGATAATTTAAATTAGCAATTTCTGATCCAACAAATTTATAATATAAATTTAGGCACCAAATTTGAAAATATTATAATTACAATTTATTCCACACAAAAGGTGAATATTATGGTAAATGGGAATACACCCAGACATTAAAAATAGAGAAAGGAGTCAGGGTGCCCCCATCACCTCTGATCTTCATACTATCTCTGGAAATATTACTAAGACAAATTAGACAAAACCCAGAAATAAAAGGATTGAAAATCAAGAAAAAAGAATATAAACTACAGTCATTTGCAGATGACATGATTTTTTTCATTGAAGATTCAATAGAGGAGGACAAGAACTAATTAATGAGTTAGAATGATTTGGAATGGTGGCAGGACTTAAAATTAATAGAAAGACAACAAAATTAATAATTAAAAATTTAACAGAAAAGCAGATATTAGAGTTAGAAAAGTGACAAATAAAATAAAATATTTAGGTATATGGCTGATGGCACACTGTAAGACATTAATGGAGAACAACTATAATAAACTATTACAACAGGTAAAAAAAGATGTAGAATTATGGGTTAAGCTGCAACTCTTGGGGAGGATTGCTGCTATTAAAATGACTATCTTGCCAAAATTTATATATCTATTTTAGACAATACTGATTAGAATACAGAAAAATTATTTTGTAGAACTGAACAGGACTATTGCAAAATTTATCTGGCAGGGCAAAAAACCTAGAATAAATCTACAAGCGTTACAAGATATGAAAAGCAGAAGTGGTATGGGTCTCCCGAATTGGGAACTATACCATAGCACAGCATCTTTGGTATGGTTGAAAGAATGGGTGAATCTAACCAATAAAAGAATATTAGTATTAGAAGGCCATGACCTACAGAGGGGCTGGCATACCTTCCTGTGGGCTACA